AAGGACACAAAGACATGGGCAATGTGACAAAAGTTATCTATGGCTAAGTATAGCTTAAACAGTAAAACCTAGTAACATCATTTAAATTAACAAGGTGACATTCCAAAGTACAATTTGAGAAACGCTAAATTGATCAAACAGTGATCATTATCTAACCCAAAATATAACCTCTCCTCAAATGATTTAAGCAAAAGTTACATTCTTATGATAATTGTCTCTAAAGTTTCCACCAACAAACAGCTTGACCTTAGCAAACATTTTTTAACCTTTTTTTGCTACAGCAATTCTTTCAACATCTTTTAACAACAGTCAGTCTGTTAAATAGTCAAACTACATAATCCCATCCCAAAACAGTGATTAGAATTGTTAGATGGGCTTTTGCCCCTTGTATCAAGGGCTTTTGCTCCATACATGCATTACCTAAAAACCCTATTCTAAAAATCAAATGACAATAAAGATTTCTAACCCTCTACAGGCTCCAAGTGATGAAATTCACATGGTTATGACCCAGCTCCATCTGTCTGGTTACAAATGCAGCATCCCTTCCAACCACACCATGTTCAATAATTTTCTAGAATGGCTCATAGAACTCAGGGGAACATTTACCAGTAAATTATAAAGGCTACATTGCAGGAACAACCAGATGCACGAGATGCACAGGGCAGGGTATGGGGTGGCAGGGGAGAGGGGGTCCGGAGCTTCCATGCCTTCTTGGGCCTGTCACCCTGCCAGTACCTCCACGTATTCTACAACCCAGAAGCTCATCATATCTTGTTTAAGAGTTTTTATAGAGCTTAATCTCCAGCCCCAGACCACCTCCTTCTACTTCCTAGAGGTCACTGGGTGGGGCTGAAAGTTTCAACCCTCTACTGACCCGCCCTGAGGCCATCTAGAGGCCCCACCCTAAGTCCCCTCCTTAGGGTAAACTCCAGTGTGATCAAAAGTGGCTTATTATGAATAACAAAACACTCCTATCACTGAGGAAATTCTAAGGTTTTTAGGAGCTTTGTGACAGGAACCAAGGACAAAGACCAAATATATTTTATATTATACCACACTTGCACATTGATTATTTTCCTCCTAATCCTGAGAGTTGGATTAGCCACGCTGCTCAATCTCTTAATTTATCTTTCCAAATCGTGTTTGGGCAGTCACTGGAATTTTCTTGCATCATGTGCAAGTTTGGAAAGTATCTGTGACTCCATAGCTGAGTTTCTCTGCCAGGCCCTTCAACTGCTATAGTAAGAATGGAGAGAGAGTACTGTAGTGATTCTCTGAACTCCCCTGATTATTCACAGGAGATAAGAGATTCACAATAAAGGAGTGTGAAGTTCTTACCTTGAGGCTCAATTTACATTATGACAAAGGATTACTTTGTAAACGGCTGTGATTACTGAGTGGGTTCTAAAACTTGCCATGGTGATTATGCAAACATTCTGTGAAGTATTATCTCAACCTGTGTCATTTGGGTAGAGACTTGGACATTGGAGGAGTAGGGAGGAGAGTGTCAGGGTTAAAAGCACCCACTCCAGAGTCAAATGGGCCAGGGTTTGTGTCCAGGTCTGTCACCCTCTAGCTGTGTGACTTTGCTTAGTCAGTTAGGATTGTTAGGCCTCAGTTTCTGAATCTGTAAAACGGGGTCGATAATTCTACCTACTGTTAGGGTTGTCAGGAGAGTCCAATGTGGTAAAAAGTTTGTAATGCATTTAGGCGGTACCTGGCACACACCAGGCACCTAAATTTTGGTGATGGCAATATTAGTTCTTGCTTGGGAAATTTGCCTTGTAAGGATACTGCTGAAGAGCATAGTGGTGGCAATAGGACATTTTTCTTGCCTGGTTTTGGCTGTTTTATGCATATTACCAAGCAGAAATTCAGGGAAAAAGAGAGGAAGCATTTTCTGGAAATTATCACCCACTACAAAATTTCTCCTGTTCTTGAAACATTTTTCTTGCCTTATAAATGGCTCCTCCCATTCTTGGGAAGCTCATGGAAGGAAGTATAGTTGACAGAATATTGGCAAGTGTAGGGAAAACTATCTTGTATGGCTTATTGGAGTTACTAGTAATATGCAAGGAGGAGACATATTCAATACAACTTAATTAGATTATTGCTTTTTTAAATGGCAATTTCAAGGGCCGGCCCCCGTGGCGCGCTCGGGAGAGTGCGGCGCTGGGAGCGCAGCGACGCTCCCCCCGTGGGTTCGGATCCTATATAGGAGTGGCCTGTGTGCTCACTGGCTGAGTGCAGTGCGGGCGACACCACACCAAGGGTTGCGATCCCCTTACCAGTCACGAAAAAGACAATAAATAAATAAATAAATAAATATATATATATATATATATATATAAATGGCAATTTCACAGCTAAATTAAAGCATGTATTTAAGTCCTAATGGTGGTGTTATGTCAGAACATCTTATCATTGGAAACCAGAAATGTCCCTGAGGGACAGATGACTGAAGCTTACTCTCTGGTGTAGTCTGAAGATTAGCTCAGAGACAGGTAGGGTGTGTGTGTGTGTGTGTGTGTGTGTGTGTGTGTGTGTGTGTGTGTGTGCCCGTGTGCCCACCGTCTTCAGACAGGGTGGATGTGAGTGATGTTTGGATAGGAACTTGCACCTACTCTTAGAGACTTCACTCATAGCAAACAAAGGAGCTGTTTACTAATTATTTCTAAGAGATAAGGGGGAGTTACAGGAATTCATGAATACATGAGAAACACAAGTTTACAAAAAACAAGCTTTAGTAATGATTTTAATATATTTTATTATATTTTGTTGTCAGTTGGCCGATACAGGTTTCTGAGCCCTTCCTTGACCTTGGTGTTACAACACTGTGCTCTAACCAACTCAGCTAGCCAGCTGGCCTATTCTAATATATTTCATCTTCCTGGGACCACTTTATAATTTGATGTTTCATTTTATAGGCAGTCATTATTTCATAGGTGATTAATTTTCTCAGGCAACTGTTTAGATATTTGTTTTTAAAAAGCTTGTTTCCTACACGTGCTATTAGTGTTGTCCTTGTGTTTATACCATTTGTTGTTTTCCCTCTTTTTTCATTTACAGTTTTGTAGTTTGGTAAATGATGGCAGAGTATACGCATAGACTGGTAAATTATTGTACATTTCCCAGACCTATTCACTGAAAGAGAATTATTTTTCTGAATCCTCATTGTTAGTCAAAAGAGACTGTGACCGACATCACTAGATTCTACTTAAGTTTGTCTTACAAAGGGTAATGTGTCATCTTTGTGGTGTGGGAGAGGATACTATTGATCCATTTTTGGTGCTTGTTTTTAGTGACAGGAGTCTTATTTACATCAAAACTTGTGTTTGGAAATGCATTTGGATATCCTCACAAAGTTGTGAAGGTCAAAGAGAAGGTATTTCTTTTAGCAAAGGATGGTATGTTGTGTTAATATTTCTAAAAAGCCCCATGCATTCTCAAGGGTTGCCATAGGGTGATATGCCCCCCAAGAAGATGAAAATTAGATGTTGGGGGCAAAAAATTTTTTTATCTCATATAAAGCACAGCTATTCATATAGTACATAAACAGATGTGTAATAAATCAGCTGTATAATAAATTATAACTTCATGGGAGGGTGATTAGGGAAAAACTAGAGGCTTATGGGTGGGGCAATAATGAAAACCAGGTTGAGAAACACTGCGTATAAACCCTGTTGGTTAACACTTACAGCAGCAGTGCTGGAACTAAGTTAATTTTCCTCCCCCAGGGATGTCATTTGAGATGTTAACTGTTAAAGGTTGGTGTTGGCTCACATAGCAAATAATGATTTTTTTATTCTTTCCTCTCTAGAGAATTTCTTGTGGTTAGTCATGAGAACAGTGCTTTAAAAATCGATGGAAAAGATTAGGAATCAGTAATAATACTTGGCCTTGCCAAGTAAGTATCCAAGAGAAACTTGAACATTCCATTTAGTTTTTTATCCTTGGGAACTTGACCACTCTACAAGAGGTGAAAAGAACATGGTGTGTGGGTGTGGGTGTGGGTGTGGGTGTGGGTGTGGATGGGCAGACCAAAAAAGATTAGATTCAGTTTGCTGTTGTTGACAGGTAGCCCCCACCTACAAATTTGGATTTAAAAAAATTAAAATTAGAAGTCGAATTTAAGTCAGTTCATGTTAGATAATATATGTTGTGAACAACACTTGAGATTTTAAGATATATGGTCAGTTAAGGTTTCTGTGGTCCTGAAGCAGAGCTAAGCCAAATGGCCCATCTGGGTATGCAGAGTTTAGAGCTCATTGTTTTGGCACATACAAATTATTAGAATACAGGTCCCTTAAACCATGTATTTTGCTACCATATTTGTCAAAATGAGCTAACTGCAATACAGCAGCAGTGTATAAATTTCTCTTTGGTTGGGTGGGGGGAGAGGAAGACATGTGTCTTCTATGTTATATTGCTAACGATGTGTGGGAAGCAAAGCTGTATGCTCTCCTTTGTGTAGATTCTCTGTCAGTCATCCTGAATTCCCGTCTGATGAAAGTTATTGGTGGAGGGTGCCAATCATGGGGTTATCTTGGGAAAGACTCTCCCTTCTCCAGGACCCCAGGACCTCACCGGGGAACTGAAGGAACTGAGTTAGGTGTTTTTCCAACAGCTTTTCTGCTGTGATAATTCTATGATTACTCATTTCTTCTATTTTAATTCTTTAATTTTATTTTTATTC